GGTAAAAAAACAAATAGTTCTGCTTCCAGTTACATCCAAATTAGGGTTGGTTGGTCGCAATTTTTTTTTTGGGGGGGCCAATTTTTTTTGTGCTGATTGAATTGGTTATTCATTTATATGCGAATTTCAGCCTGAACTATTTTCATTGCACTACCGGTACGAAAGCTATGCAAAAAAATGGCATCAAAAAGTAATTAAAACTTACATTGTACCTTAATAATTGTTAAAATATATATAGTCGATAATTCTTTAGATAATTCTTTAAATAATGGAAAATTCAGGTCGTCCACAACGCCAGTCAAGACAGGAAACCAGTGTGGCCCCCCAGTCGCCCCCCCCCCCCCCCCCCACTGAGATTTTGAGTTTCTAAAAAAATTATCATTGATCTACATGATGCCCCCCCCCCCCCCCCCCCCCCCCCCCCCCAGCCACACCACTGAAAAATTCCTGGCTACGCCACTGCGGGAAACTGACCAACACTGTCCGTACATTGCGCGTATACATAAACCTGCGTGATGCACTGTGTGTGGAGGGCAAAAAACCTCGTTTTTAAGGGAGGACATTTCGAGGAAACACGCTGCATCTTATCACTCTAAATATCACTTCATCATATCGTCACTGTGACATCAAATTGCATAGTTTAATCGCAAGTGATCTTATAAAAACAAAAGGGTTTTTGAGAGGTGTTTTGTGAAGACAGAAAAGATAAGTTTTTTTTAATTTGTAAATTCATTTATCGTTATATTTGTTTTTTGACTTTTCGATAAAATTTTAAGGGTCGCAGCCTAAAAATAGAATTGGTCGGGTAACCGGAAGCAGAAGTATTTGAGGGGGGGGGGGGGGGGGGGGGGGGGCTTAAGCTGTACACATTTCCTGAACACTCTTATGACCATGACATCATTATCAACATGTATGTGGTCATGTACCGTACACTGTTGTACATACATGTACCGGTACATTAGTTCTCAGATGTGCCTGGGTGGGTCAGAAAGAAAGCAACCCAGATTTGCAATCAAATTTGATACATCAACGGAAGTACATGTTTGTCTTAAATCTTCTTACAGTCAGATTTTGTGTTTTGAATATGTGAGTAACAAGTAAACTCTATTTTTTCCTGAAATATTGGTAAAGATTTGTGTCTGTTTTCCTTTGCAAATTATTGCATGGAGGTGGGAGAACATCCATGTTTCATTGTATTTAATTGGTAATTCATGAGTTCGTAGGATTTAAAATTATCAGTGGTGGAAAGCTAAATTTTGTGATGTTTTGTTCATTGAAATCTAGACGTACAGGTAACTTAGGAATATAGAGTGCAAAGTACTTGACATTTTCAGTTACTAGTCAACCTGTACCGGTACATGTACTTTATCCCTACGTTACTTTTATGAAATGGAGCTACATTTGTAGCCAAATGTTTTTTAAAAAGTTAAAATTCGGTCACTATATTTTGACTCACCAAGTGCTTTAGAGGCATGCAAATTGAATATTTTTAATAGATTTTGAGAAATTGTCTATACATGTACCTGTACATACCGTAAGTAATACTGCAGGTCAACATGTATTTTTACATATTACGTACTTTGAATTTTAGAAAATATTAATTTAAGCATGCCATATGGACAAGACTTGAGCGTTTTTCTAGTAAGATTCACCGAAAATCCTACAATTACCATGATTACTATAAGAAAAATATATGGAAATGCAATCAAAATAATATTTTTAAAATGATGCTCCCAAAAAATCCTTGCGTGTGCTAATTGACTGCACTGACCAAAAAAAGGGACATTGGGAATAATACCAAGTGAACTGCACCGTGCACACATGATGCACACGTGTACAAAATAAATGGGGATGTGACTTTCACCAACTTGCACACTGGATAAATGTACATTGTACCTTGATCTTTTGCAAATCAATACACATTATGGGAATGGCCAACCCACACACGTACACAGTGTGAGACGCCGCGACAAATTGACAAGCACGAGACGGTGACTGGTAAAGACAAGGGAAGCAGGCATCCTGCTGGCACCATCATGTCCACGGTTGATGACTTCCTCGGCAATTCATTGAAGTCAAGATTATGGTCAACGTACGGTAGTCAATAGTGGACCGTTTTTTTGCCCGTATGTTATCATTACACTTTGTGCTACATTTAAAATCCTAGCCCCTTGAGTGATTCACTGAGATCCTAGCTTCCTCACTCTTGCAAAATCCAACACCATATGGCGACTCGAGTTCAACACCCAAACTGTTGGACTGTGAGTATGCCTGACCCTGTGTAAAAGCATTTCAGTTCACTGGTAAAGAGTCCTCACTCCAACAGATTCAAACAAAACATGCAGTTGGACTTTGAAGGGTTGGTGGTTAGGGTTTATGTGTTTGATGTACACGCCAGAACGACCAAAAGGAATTTCCTGTAAGGGATTTAACAAAACTGAAAGAAATTGAATTGAATTGTACAAAAAAATGGGCAATATCAGTGAGGCGGACAATTTAGAAATTAGACTTTTTTTTTAAATTTAACTCAAACAGTCCTCCAAATTATGATTTTTTACACAAAACACCTGAGGAATTAGGGTAAAGAACTCAGTAAGTAAACCTGAAAATGTCTTTTTCAAATCTTATAATACATATATCCATAATCTAGTAATGGTCGAGGAGATTACAGAGTATTAGATAATTTTTCTATGGTTGGCTCTGTCATGAACATTGCATTTTCTTCCATAACACTGAAATTGCCCCATAAACATTTATCAATTTGTATTTCCGCCACAGTGTGCATCCATACCTGAACAGAGAAATGCAATTTTCAACTCTGTCTTCTCAAACCTTTTGTTACTTCTAAAAAGACATGAGAAACAAAAATTTGAAAACAGGACAAATTTCATGTCAAAGGGGTTTAGTCATGTAAACAATTATTCGCTTCATACATTTATAAAAGGAAGAAATGAACTTGAAAATGAAATTATTCATGTCAGAAGGGTTTACTCCATTTAATCAATAAACTTTTTTCTTACTATTTTGCCATAAATTTTAAATTTAAGTTACTTGTAGGCCTAATCATGAGCTGCAAACACATACCGTGCCGTGCCCCTTACACATTATTTATGCACATGTGTACATTTGAGCTACATACATGTACACATTGTAGAGTGTTCTGGCCAAACAAAAAGAAAGCAAAATTGAATTGGAATTTTTAATGGAATCGGCAACAGACTATTGAATTAATTTTTTTCTTTTTTAATTTTTGCATTGTGACTTGAAAGCTTGCGTGCTATACGAAAAGCACTGCCTAATGCATCTTGTTTGGTGCGTGTTATTAACTCTGTCCGCCGTCACCATACAAGGACAGCCAAATTAAATTTCACCATGCTCTGTTCTGTCTGCCTGAGTGCATGGCAAGGTATGGCCTACCCTATCCCATTAAAAAAAGCAAAGGGTCTAAGTGCATTTCCAACCTGGGTTTCTGTGTCTGCTTTGAAACCATATAGACGTACCGGTATGTGTTACCGAGTTGTTACTCCAATGCAGATTGTCAAGTGCATTTTCGTGACGCGCATCGGCTGTGCCGAGCCATATTTTGAAGACATTTCGAGCAACACGCATGTATTTAGAACATTTTGCACACTGCGCCCACAAGTACCAGATGGCATTGAATATAATTTTCCTACGAAGATGGCGTCGTGTGAGTGGGCTCTATCTTACAGTAGAGAGATTAAAGGTAAACGTGTATGGCAAAGCATACTGGAAACTTCGCATCCCGTTCATGTGCATGTGCGCAAAAGACTTTAAGTACACGTGTACATAAGAAGCTGTGTTCGGTAACCTTATCCATAACCTTTAATTATACCTGAGATAATCTTCTCTATTAAAAGTCTATTGATTATAAATGACAATACATTATGTGACCTCTTATAAAACTTGAATATCTTTAGCACTTTTGCACGCATGGTAAATGAAGTCGTTTTTTACCTCGCATTACGAGGAGCGCCAAAATAATTTGTTTGGCGTTGAGTACAGCAAACCAGCAGATGAACAATGTACGTGCACTGAGGCATAATTTTGTGAGTCACACGCATCCATGACGCAACATGGGTCCTAGGTGTACACGGTCTTGCAAAACCTCGTAAACAAATCTCTCTATTATCAGAATCACTGACTTGACTATGATTGTACACACATGTAGATGCTGTCTGAAGCTGATGAAAGTGGATGGATGCATTTAATGTGCATGACTTGAGAATTACGGTACTCAGACGCCAAAAGGCCTGGCTGTTCTGCTTGCGAACACATTAATTTTAACCCTAACCTTCCCAAATCCTCCAAAATTCTCTTTGCAAAATGGAGGATTTTGCAGGATTGAGGCTATGGCAAAAATGTGTGGCTGATTTTGGAGGATGCACTGTGTCAAGGTCTTGGGCCGGCCCTGGTGTCGTTTATGCTCAGTCGTTCATAAATTTAGGCCTAAATTATACCTGAAATCCTCCGCACTGCTCCAGGATGTCACTGGCTCTGCCTCAACATATTGACGGTGATGGCTGACAGAGAATTTTGCAGGACGCGAGGCACATGCAGAAAATCAATGAATAACTCTACTCAAATATGGTCCGAGCCGGGAATCGAACCAGGGCCACAGCGGTAAGAAGCGAGGTCTTTACACACTGTGCCACCCATCAGCCCATGCCAGACAATATGTATTTGAGCACCTTACTACATGTGTAAAAGCCTAAAAGAGGATTGCTAAAATTGATTTCTTGTATTTCTGAATGTGAGAATATATAGTTCTTGTTTATAAGAAATACCGGTATGTTCTCATCTGACGTTTGAGTGTGAGAAACATTTTTGGAATAAGAACTTTTTTCTACGTAATTTAAAGAACAAAACTTTTTTTAGTATTGAACTGCCTTTGGATACAGACATTTTTCTAGTGACACAATGTTTAAATAGCACGTGTTCATATGTGGATTGTTGGGGTTTTGTTCTCCAACCATACAGACCTGATAGGATCGGATGATGGTCTGAACCGAAAGGTGATCCTCGATGACACGTCGGTCCAAGGGCGCCCCCAGTGTCCGAGTGGGTGTCGCAGTGACTGCCTGGGTAGGTGTCTGATACATCGCCGGGGTAGGTGCTGGGGGCGGGGTGTACGCCATACCGGGAGCGGCTCCATTCTGAGCGTTGCGGAAGAAGATGTCCCATGACTGAAATGATGCAAATAACATTGAAAGTGGTTTTTCATTTTATAATCATATTCTATGGATGATCAAATAGTCGGATATTCAGTTTATTCGGCAAAGTACTAGTTGTAAACACTTACGCTCCCTCCCCTCACCCCCCCCCCCCCCCCCCCCCCCCGCCATACACACACACACCCACACACGTGTGTAAATGCCGGCAATCGTGGACGCCCCATTGTCCCTAATCCTCTTTCCTTTGTTTGTACTTTTTAGCGACAGCTCTCATTGGTTTTGTACACGATTTGAGATCGTGGACGTATTGTTTGTGCTCACATTCTTTTGTCCTACGTCCACGATTGCCGGTGTTTACACACGCACACACACATATACTTGTTTCACATGACTAGTGTGGACTTTCCATTGCTTTCGTGTAGTTCAGAAAAACCAGTGAAAAAAATCATTTTTCTCAAACTGTGAAAACTCTTTCAACCCAATTTTTTTTCTATGATTCCCTTTAGTGTTTCTCTTCATTCTGCTACAGATAAACCTAACCCAAAAATGCCTCTAAACCTGTTTTCCAGAAATGGGGAAACACTGTGTGGACGTGGGGTAAGTCCACACAACGTCGGTGCTACCTACATTATGTGGACGTCTTTTGTTCGGAAGTCCACACTGCGTATGTAAGACAAACTCAGTGTCTCCTCTACCTGGTTTATGTGGACATCTTTTGTTCGGAAGTCCACACAGTGAATGTAATGCCTGTACACACCCATTCGTAAATGCCGGCAATCGTGGACCCCCTATTGTCCCTGATCTTCATTCCTTTGTTTGTACTCCTTTGTAGCAACAGCTCTCATTGATTTTGTACACGAATTTCAATCGTGGACGTTCGGTCAATCATCTGATCATGGACGTATTGTTTGTGCTCTAACCCTTTTGTCCTAGGACCACTATTGCCGGTGTGGACATACTCACACACACACAGTTGTGTTTGACTACACTCATGAGGACCTGCCCCTTCATTTCTTTTGTTCCCTTTGTTTGTACCTTAACTTTTTCTCGACAGCTCCCATAAGGTTTGTACACGAAATTTTCATGAGGACTAGTGCCCAGGTCCTCGGGCAGCGTCGGGCCCATTGTTATCGCACACACCCCATTGTCCCAAGTCCTCAGTTGTACAGGATAACCTGTACACATTTGTTTGTGATGTAAAATCAAGGATTTTCTATTGTTCCTCTTCCCTTTTCCTTTACTTTGACTTGTTTTCAACAGCTCTCACTGGTTTTGTACACTTTCTCTAATCGATGTCGTCCTCGATTTGGTTCCTGTCAGGACTCAGTTCATCGATGATGTTGCACGTTTGTCCTCGATTTGCACCATAACCTCCCGGTACTCACCCACACACGTTTGTTTATGGTGTAAATCAAGGATTTTCTATTGCTCCTCTTTCCTTTTCCTTTACTTTAACTTTTTCGCAACAGCTCTCATTGGTTTTGTACACGTTTTCTAATTGAGGTCGTCCTTGAATTGGTCCCTGTCCTCGATTCACCGATGATGTTGCACGTGTGTGTCCTCGATTTACACCATAAACAAACGCATGTAGGAATACGCGATCGCAATATCCCCCTGTCTGGCTTGAAAGCCAGGAGGATAAAAACAAAGTACACACATATGCGCACTTTATCCAGCTAAACGACTGCTGATAGAGCACGGTAAAAACAAACAGCTGGAACAACAACTCAGTTGTACTCTGCCCACTTCAACCAGATAAAAAAAAAACCAATTTGTTGTTGAATATTATTATTAAATGCGATTCAGGCTCTGCAGCTACATTATCAACAGGGTCATGGGTGTTTGATCAATTCAACAAGTAAATTCATAATGAGGTTTTTTTGTAAATATTCCTGTTAGATATCTAGCAGTGTCTAGGTAGTACATGTACATGTACAATGTATGTGTAATCGGCTGTACCTTGAGCTTTTGTCCTGCTGATCACATTTGTTCAGGAAGGTTCGTTCTTGTTAACTCTGAGAAAAGCTAATATTTTGGAACATTGAAATAATGTGATTCAGCCAATATCAACAGGGTAGTGGGTGATAGATAAATTTTGATTTGTTTGTCAATGTTCTTGCTAGACATGTACTGTTTACAAGCTAACTGTACCTTGAGCTTTGGCCCTATTAATTGACCTATTGCCGTTTGTAAGTTAGCCACGCCCCTTAGACAACGCTACATGGAATTTGTGCACGTGCACTAAGTTTTGTTTGTCTCAGATTTTGCGCGTTCTGCGTCCATGTAATTGGACAATATTTCACAAGCTGCGTTAACGCAATTCTAACGAGATTCTACCGCGATAGGTAAATTGTTTCCGGAAGGACTATTACCATGAACTCTGCTATCACAGAACTGATTCACTGCAAACAATGTGTACAGGCACAAAACAACAAAAACAAGTTCATAGTCAGGCTTGCATGTTTACATACATGCACTGTAGATGAGTGGCCTTTTGGCATTGATTCAAATAAAATGTTATAAAAACTTAAATGTGTTTTGTAATCTTCAGAACTTGGTCTCTCCCCACACTGCCATGTTTGAATGATAATACACTTTATCTTCAAGCAAACTTGTATCCTCGATCCTGATTGGTCGATCCATGTCAACAACAGTGTCCTTATTGCACCTTGATGCGCTATTCCAAGATGCGTACGGCATTCCAGCGGCAAGCACTAAACCACTAAAAGGTTCACGTCAAGCGTGCTAGTTCCGTCTTTACTGTGCGTCAAGTTTGCTTGAAGATGCATTCATTATCGCGCTCGCGCTTGTGGAACACGGAAAATGTAGTGTGTCTGTGTCCCACATTGGCCTCGTGGTATGTGGGACACAGAAACACTACATTATTTTGTGATCCACTCGCACTCTCTCGCGGGATAACTTATAGTATTACACATACATGGTTATTACACGTGTACATGTACATGTACATGTACCCCTGAACATGCTGAAAAGGTAGCAGTGGATAGGTGATATTCCTATTCATAGCTCAATCATGCCGACATGAATAACTTTTGACAAAGAAGCCTTTTTACAGCAAGAAAACCTGCTGGCAATGCTGTGTGCTCACGTCATGCATGGCCTGGTTAACTACATTGTAAACATCCTTGCCCTTTCAACTTCCATGCGTAACCCCTAAGGCCAAAAAAAAAATCTCCGGTTTCTGGTATGCGCGCGTCGCCGTAGCCATGCGCATCGGCAAAATTTAAAAGGTTTTTTTTCCAATGTAAGATGATGTCTACAAACCGCCAAACTCACTGGTATGACTGGAATCCTGCGGCGGCACAATTTTAATGTGTTTTTAGAAGGGGTTACGATTGAGTATTAGCTTTATGTGGCCTCTCCTGGCTCCCATACATTTCGCACTCAATTTAGTCGGGCACCATTTGCAGTCATCAGCCGACATTTGGAGGAAAAAAAGGAAACAAAAAACAAAAAAAACAGCCACAGCCGCACCACTTTTGGGGCAAGCTCCATACCAGAAACCGAAGTCTTTTTTTTTCTGGCCTAACTGACTCTTTTTTTTAACCTCACTGCTAGATGGGGGGGGGGGGGGGCTGATTGTTAATATCCCCCCCCCCCCCAATTTGATTACAACTGTGTGTGCATATAGAGACTTTTTTACTTTGTACATCAGCGATTTAGCACTAGCTCTATGGTTATTGATGGAAAGAACATCCAGACGCCACTTCAGCGGTTGTGGAAAGTCAAGAAATTTTCTTAGTACAGTTGTATTTCCTAACAAAATTGGAAAATATTTCTCAGTCCCAGATTCATGTCTTTTCAACATTTTTTGCAATGACTGAAATTTACTGAGATGATACATGAAGAAAGAGCGGCGTCAGGTTGCAACATTCTTTCCGTTATGACACATTTCATGACAGTTGCACAGTGCGACTTACGCAAGAAAGAATGCACAGTTGTACGTGTATGCGCAGAGGACACATGTATACCGGTACATGAACGACTGCTATGGGTCAGATACTGTTCTTTACCAGGCACACAAAAGACCTACACGGTAACCCTGGGATGCAAGTCTGAACACAGACTCAAAATAGCGGGCCATTTAGAGTCTGACACCAGCCAGCATGTAGATTGTCAGATTGCAATATGACGTAGTGGGTCAACCTAATTTAAATGTCTACTGGCATAGGCCTACCAATAAAGTACCAAAGTGTGATGTTAGCTGTCATTGTTCTGGTTCACTCTGGTTCGCGCACGGATGTCTTCACACACTTTAAAGCTGTGCACGTGGAACAGAATATGCGGCACACTTCAGTACTCTATATCGTCTCTATGCTGCTTTAACTTACGCGTAACACATCGGTGTGCAGAAGTAGGCCAATCCAACTATAATAGGGGAGGCGATACAGCCAAGATGCATATTGCACGAGGCTGTTGCCTGTTGATCCTCCCCACCTGTGATAAGAGGTCAGAACTCTGGTCTACATGCGCGTAACCACAACTCCGCGTCTTCCAGAGGTGAGGTAGTGTTTGCCCAACATTCTATAGTGATTACTCCCCCCCCCCCCACCCAAAAGTACAGACAGGCTCCATGAGAAATGTTTTGCAGTTGATCAAACTCTCATTAAAATCCTCCAAAATCCTTTTTGCAAATTGGAGGATTTTGCAGGATTGAGGTTACATGGCAAAAGTGCGATGCGGATTTCGGAGTACGCACTGTGTCAAGGTCTTGGGCCGGACCTTGTGTTGTTTATGCTCAGCCATGCATAAATTTAGTCCTTGATTATACTTGAAATCCTCTGCACTGCTCCAGGATGTCAGTGCCTCTGCCTCAGCCTATTGAGAGTCATAGCCGGAGGATTTTGCAGGATTCAGGCAGTGGTCACCCCTCCATGGACCATATTCAAGAAATAATGGAGGAATTTGCAGGATTGAGACTATATGCTATTTTTCCATGAGGCCAATTGGAGGATTTTGCAGGATTGAGGCTACATCCTAGCAAAAAGGCCTAGGGAGTTAGGGTTAAAGCTTCTACATGTAAATGCTTTAACAAACCAGAACTGTGCACTGTGGGACGATTTGTACAACTCACAATCTCCATTCGTAAGCGCAAACTATCGCACCACTACGATCGTAGAAGGGTGTAGGGCCTACATGTATATGCTGGCACCCAGCAACCAGTGATAACAAATTTGCCCTGTGTGCAAAGAAGTCCTTCTAAAGGCCTGGCAAATTTTATGACGTTATCCATTGGAGTTTCATTGTGACGTTTGCCATTACCTTCAGGAACGAATTTGCTTTGCACTGAAAGTCAGGCATTAGTTAATTGTTTTACTCCGGCAGATTTAATTTTCTAGTTTTCTTTCTGATCCAAAATTATAACTCAGTAAATAATGTAAAGAGAAGTAAAGTCTGAGAACCATTCGGTTGACAACTGACGCATGCACAATGGTTGACTTCCGTAGAAAACAGTATTTCCGAACAAAATTGGAAATGTTTCTCAGTTCCAGATTCATGTCTTAATACTATTATCATAATTTTTGCAATGAATTCGGGACCTTCATTGAGATGATATGATGAAGAAAAAAGTGGCGTCAGATTGCAACATTTTTTCCAACAAATTTTCCAGCGCACAAACCTAGTGCAGATCTTCATAATATTAATAATAACAAAAAAAATACAAAAAAGTAAACTAAAAAATTGAACATGATGTAGGCATACGCCTATAAACAATCAAACCACCCATCTTGTATCCAGATCGTCCCGGCTCACCTTATGCACCGATTTGGGATCCTCCAGCCAAGATTGGTACATTTCTTCCACATAGTTTGAGCTGCTGCCGCTCAGAAAGGGCTCAGCGGCCACAGGCGAGACATAAGCCCGCCGCGCCTGGCGTCCCTGGCCGGTCAAACCCGGCCCCCCTAACGTCCTGAAACTACCTGTCCGGAGTTGACCCAACGTCAACAATGTCTTAAATCGGTGCATTCTGGCTCTCCACTCCGCTCTCTGCGGTTAGTCCTATCCGGCACGAAGCCGAAAGTTCCAAAATATTGTCTCAATAAAAGGCTAAAGTGCCTCGGTCGCTCCAGTTTCACGCTGGAACGGAACTCACTCGTCGAAACTGCCGCCGACGATCGACGCGTTCAGCCGGCGTCGATTCTGTTGTTGTCCGCGCTGGAATCACGCGGCGTGAAATTACACCAAGCGCGCTGACTCGCTGATTTCACAACACCACAATGTCAAGGAAAATGACAATGGTACCAGCACTGGCAGTTACTATGGTGAATCTTGTGTGGGGTCCATCAATTGTTTTCTCGGAATAAAAGCAGATTCAAGCGGTAAATGGGTCGGGAAATCCCGCAATTTCGCAAGTGCTGAGCAGTTGCATGTAGCCTACGCCGTGTACGTGCTATTCAATCGATGATGTGATGCAATAGCAATGCGGAAGGAAGGCCTCACATTTCCAATGCACTGGAATGTTGCAGATTGTATTTCTTGCTTGAGATAATTACACTGGTTCACTGATACTCTGTGGAAGTTCGACGATGTTGCGATCGCTGAAAGTCACTGACTTCTGACTTCTGTGATAAATTGCAATCGACTGAACGAGATTCTCGTCACTGCACTCCTCCCATTCCTTGCTCTATGCGCGCTCTATCCGTATCCTCTTGATCCGTCGTGACGGTGACCGTAAGGTCAGAGCCAAATTCTGCTAAATGCACATCAAAAATCTGTCAGCTTTATCAAAAATCTGCCAAATTCCCCAGAATTACTCCAAATACACTTTAAACACTTAAAATGACATGCAGATTGGTGGTATTGCCTTAATTAAGATTCAAATTACATAATAAACAATCTAATCACATAAAGATGTGGTGAAATTATTGGTAAATTTCGGGCAAAATGCGGATCGGGCCACGACGGTCCATTTCCCAGTAAACCTCAGCACCTACCTAGAACATGTCCCATTATGCAAGGGTTTGTTTGAAAGGATTGAAGCTTTTTTTAAACAAATGTACACTTTTTTTCAAGTTTGCTGTTTTTCTGTTAAAGCTATAGTCCATCATGATTTGCAGCCATCCGAAGAAGTAACTGGCGTATTATTGTTGAAAAACATACTTGGTTGAAAGATAGTAAGTGGACTAAACTCCCTGTGAAATTAATCTTTCTGGCAAGCTATCATTTTGAAGTAATCAACGAAAGAAGGCCTATCCAACGGTGCGTCTTAAGACGCACCTTAGGAAAATTTAAATTAGTAGTTCGTTTTGTTATTCAGCGCAGCGCGCGCAAGCATTGGCACGACGCACACGCGCGCGCGGTTGCTATAATTCGTCAGATCAGTGCACGACATTGCGTATGGCTGCAATTCAAAACAATTCAAAACATGATTCAGCAACTTTTGATTTGAAATTGAGATCCTAGAATGTTGTTTTTCTCGGAATATACAGCTGAAGCTGAGCTGAAACTTCATCAGGTTAGTTGTTTAGTATCCTTCATTAGATTTTGAATACTTTTGTTGCTTCAAACGAAAAAAATGCACAAATTACAAATGATGGACTATATCTTTAATAACCATTTTTTTGCAGAAATCTGCAAGAAATCTGCCAAAAAATCCATTCTGTCAAATTTTGTCAAACTCGGGTTTTTTTTACAAAATGCTGTCAAAGTTAGCCGAAGATCGGCTAAAACGGTCACCATACGTCGTACATCGTATACATGTCGTACGCGTAACCTCATTCTCAGATGTTAAAATGCTGTACAATGCTATTGGCTTATGCGTCACGTGGTACATATCGTCAACCTCGGTCTCATTGATAACTTAGCCGCGTCTGAATTACTTGGCTATGGCTGGACAGAACACACGGGTCTATGGAAAGTGGCTGCAGCCGCTTCCGTTGGCGCGTGTGTAAAATCTGCTAGCCGCTAGCCAGCTGCAGCCATGACACGGCAGAGTGCGAGTGCCAAGTGGGGGCGTGGCCGGCCAGAGCTGTATTTATAAATGGCTCTGCAACCGGCATGTATGTATAAGCCCGTTTTAATGAAGTGGGCGGGGCGTTTCTTTACTTCCATTAATAGACCTACACGTATGCGCAAAGGCACTGGGGGCAGAGCCTTGTGTGTGCTTTAATTGTAACCAAATGAAAATAACCAAAAACACCCTCTAAGATATCTGCAGGGGGGATCTAGCTTTGGAGGGTGGGGGTGGGGGGGGGGGGGTTGAGTGAAGCGCGGGAGGGCACGCCCCCTACCTTTTGAAATCTCTGATGCTTTCTCTCCTGCATTCTAAGGCAATTTGAGAATAAAATCAGGTATTTTAGCATCGTTTTGTACCATTTTACTATACCACGCCACTACACCCCTGTATAATACAGGGGTGAAGTGGCGTAGCCAGGAATTTTTCAGTGGCGGGGGCGCTGGGGGGCTGGAACATTTCATGGGGGGGGGGGGCGTCATGTAGATCAATGATAATTTTTTTAGAAACTCAAAATCTCAGTGGGGGGGGGGGGGCCGACTGGGGGCGACAAGGTTTCATGGGGGGCTGTTGCCCCCCCCCCCCCCCACGCCCCCCGTGGCTACGCCACTGCAGGGGTGTGAGTGACCACTGATGAAAATAGCTGAAAACAGCTGAAAAAGGTGTAAAAAAGCTGAACTTTGGAAATCTCCTATTCTTTTGTACACAGCAAGTGAGGGAAAAAAGCTGAAATCCAAAACAAAAAAAGCTGAAATCAGCTTTAAAGCTGAGATTTCACACCCCTGACTATAATATAACATGAAATCATCGGCTGGAGGAGGGGGGGGGGGTTATGCACTTGACCCTCAACACATAAGGTCAATTGTCCCTTTTCCTCATCACTGACAAAATGACTTTTTATTATCAAGGGGTAAATTTGTGCCAAAGAGATCAAAGGATGTTGGCTGTTGACTAACAACGGTGACTGCATGCTCTGTTCCGACACCCCTATGTTCCGACAACCTAGATTGTGTTACTCCCGGTTAGGGTTAGGATTAGGGTTAGGGTTGGGGTTAGGGTTAGAAATAGGAATATGTGCAGTCGGAACATAGGGGTGTCGGAACATAGAGGCGTAACCCTTACAACATGATGGTACTGCACTGGCATGGAAGGTTTTTTTGTGGAAGTGCCATGTTGTTGTTTTTTGTGGTGGGGAAACCATTTTCTAGGGGGCCTTCTTTTTTTAATGATGGTAATGGTTTACAATGTAATTAGTTTTTTTTTCAAACGAACAGTTGTTGCAAGCAGTGTGCATTTTATTTTTTAAAAATGAAACGGTTTGGCAACTTTTCCCGCCATGTTATTTGTTTTCAGTACTAACAAAATCCAGTTAGATTTACAATGAATTTCACAACATAAACAAAACATAAGTATTACAGATATAAGGCAAATACAGTCAGCTGTAGCATCTTCATTTGTTGATGTATGTATTTTTTAATTATGTATTCAAAAGTATAAAAACTGTACCATTAAAAAATAATTTCCATTACAGAAATCATCTCACCTCTGTTTACCTACATTTGCATATCAGCGCAAATGTAGGTAAACAGAGATGAGTGTTTTCTTACTAGAATGGAAAATCCCTTTGGATTTTAGGAATTCCCGGCATTACAGAAAACATCTCACCTCTGTTTACCTACATTTGCGCTTATATGCAAATGTAGGTAAACAGAGGTGAGTGTTTTCTTAATAGAATGGAAAATCCCTTTGGATTTTAGGAAATCTGCAAAATGTTCCCGTACAAAAAATATATCAGCTTCACATACAAAAATGTGTCAAATGATTAATACCGTACTGCAGAAGATAGCTTAAACTTTTTTATTACAAATTCAATAAAAATTCCTTTGTTTATTTCTGGGTTTAAACTAAACTAACTAAAGGTTAATTTCAGACAATGCTGTGTTCTGGTTACTTATTCTTAGACATTTACTTATTCAACAATATTCTTTTCAGTTGAATTTCTTAACAAATACAAATACAAATATACATGTATACATAAATATCGGTTAAAAAAGAATCAGTGAATTACATAATTTACAAAAATAAGGTGTGTTTTGTACAAGTATTTCATACTTCTTTGAAAAATTCATCATAGACCTACGTGCTCATGTGAAAGACGAGTAAATTATAACAATGAGTTGTATAGTTTGCTAAGAATTTCAAAAAGGAACCATATAGACCTTCATCATGCTGCCACCATTTCAGTCATGCTCCCTGTATCCAATAACAGTACTGAATGATGTTTTTTTTGTGCAAAAAGGACCAGGCCATTTTTCCTTCCAGCCTCATGTTGGTTACGTTGATTTGAATGGGAAAAAAATCAAGATGGCCGCAACATGATAATGGTCTATTTATATTGCATAGCACTTTCAAAAGAGAATAAGACAAGGAAATTTCCCTTTTCTGGACAGTGTTGTTTGTTGCTCCCATAAAGGCATGATTTTCACCAGCCTCTGTCCATCTTATGATCAATTTCGAGGCACAATTTCCTTAAGACTGTAGCACAATATGAATCACTATGCATGTCTGCATGTGCTTGGGTTTGTAAACTGCGCGGATGTCATTCACGGCAGAAGCGGAAAAAATGTTGCAACCTGATGCCACTTCCGCGATTGTGTACAAAGTCTATGGAGAGTCAAGAACATTTTCTAAGTATTTCCTCAGAGCCAGATTCATGTCTTATCATCATTTTGCAGTGAATGACCTTCATTGAGATGATATATGAAGAAAAAAGTGGCGTCAGGTAGCAACATATTTTCCGCAGAAGCTTCATGCTTTGGCACAAAACCGTTACCAGAATTTGGGGGTTTTGCTGTGGTTATTGTGTTTTCAGGGATTAGTTGTTGTTTCGTTACATACCTGTTTGGGACGAAACAGGTTTTAGGGTCACTGCATGTAAATGGTGATATTCTTTGAACGGATTCAGCAATTTTACTATTTTTTTTTCAACTAAAAGTAGCTTACGAAATTGGCTTTCCAGTCATTGTGTTATGTGTTACATATTTTTTAAATATGAAATATATTTTTGGGGGTTAGGGTTTTGCTTTTTTAAGTTGACTTGCCCTGTATATATCGCAAACGGCGATATAGGTCAATAAGATTGCGGAACTGTCTCGGGTATTGATGGATGGGCGTTATAGGCCCAATAATACAAGCTTAGTAACTATTATATAACTGACATACAGATCCTTGTCATTTGATTGGTGGAACTCACATCACGTTACAGTCGTTATTGCTCCCATTCACGCAGGGGCTCAAAAAGTCTGATTCGCCCATGGGGAATGGGAAATACTATTGAACAGTTAGGATCATCCTTGCAGCGCCTATTGTTCCAAAGAGCCAGCGCTACAGAGATGGGTTCAAACATTTTCCTGAAGGGGTGGTTTACAAGAGAGAAATACATTTTCCACCAATTTTTTAGTGAAATAAAAGTTCAAATATATCAAGTGACACGGATCTTTATGTCAGTTATATAAAACAAATATTTAAATTGTGAAATGGGAGGAATATTATCGCTCGGCCTGGACATTTCCAGTTCACTCGGCTTCGCCTCGTGAAATGGAAAAGTCCAGATTTAACCTTGCGAGCATATTCCTCCCATTTCACTCTGAGCCACTCAATATTTGTATAACATACAAGAAATTTAAACACACATGTGAA